TGTACTTTTATTTAAAAACATTTTGAAAATAATGTAGAAATCAGAAGAGAATTACAAATATGAAAAGCTTTTGATATAATACCTAGAGATACAAAACATAAATTTTAGGAACGTGTCGTCTGACCTTAATATAATTTTTAATATTTAAGGAATGAAGCTTATTTCAACTTATGTTATCCGATATAACATAGCTTCGGGCAGTTTACGCTTTATAAACCGCTTTTAGCGGTTTAAATTCTATCATTTGTAGAAATAACTTAGCCATAGATTTAATCACATGTTTTTATTTAGATGATACAGTAAATTTTCGTATATGCGATAAATGATAATTAAATTGAAATAAGCAGTTTTATTAATTTGTTTGTAGCAATGGAGAAAACAAATATTACAAAAAAATATGAATGCTGAAAAGAAAAAAATAATCTTAACATATAATTTAACAGGTATGACTGAAAAAAAAATTTAAACCTTTTATCCGGGATAGAATCCTTCCTCATAATGTATATTTTAGGAAGATGTCATTATGTATTATTGTACATTAATAAACTGAAAGATTATAAAATAATAATTTTTTTTTGAATTTAATAACTTATGACACATTTGCTTTTTTCAGTATGATCAAATTTACATATCTAATTATTACATCTCACTAAATGACATCTTAAAAAGCTTTCCCGCTAAACACACACTTGGAACTACATTCTCAATACGTACAGTAAAAGGACATACATGTATCTATCATGAGCTTGTTATAATTGTTGCTTGGATTTGTTAAATATAGTCATGCTGTACTCATACCTTTTACTATAATGCTGAATAATGTAAAGACATTAAATCAGTATATACAAGTAGTTATAATAAAATGTTAATGCAATAAAGGCATTTCAAATAAATTAAATTTTGGATTTGGTTTTAAGGATACTTAAATAAAATAGATAAAGAAAATTGCATCTTCGACAATTTGCTCAAACCTGTGTACTTGTGTCTTATTAAAATATTTTACCTTGAAAGGCTATTTGAGAGGAAGTTTTATTTTTCTATAGCTCCATTTGAATTTAAGCTTTAACATCAACAATCAACAATAGCCAATGCGATAATTTTCTTTTTTTCATATTTGCATCCTCCTTATTAAACGACATTAAATACTCTTTAGCGCTGATTTTATTAGATGTGCTTGCTTAAATTAGCTGAAACATTTTTTTTTTGGTTTACGTTGTTCTTGTCTATTCCCGAGTTGTCTAACCTGAAAACATACAATCTGGGTATTTACATTTTACACATGAGTAGATAATTTTACAACGAAATTCTTTGTCGACAAAAGATGACCTACATATTTGTGAACTCAGGTGATTTAAACCATTTTTCTGTCGATTAAATGCAAGAAAAATAACCCAAAGATGGATACCAATGAAGGTATACGTTGTTGTCTTCCTTTGCAAATAATCAACTTGAAATACACTGTATGATGAAAATTTGAGGCACACAAGGTGTGTATTTTTATTTGATATTTTTGCATTAAAGAATGTGGGTTTCATTTCGTGCGTGTGTGTGTGTGTGTGTGTGTGTGTGTGTGTGTGTGTGTGTGTGTGTGTGTGTGTGTGTGTGCGACTTGCTGGACAATTGTGTTTTGCATTACAGGGAGAACAAAAGGTTGCATATTTGAGTCACTACACTTGTATATTGCTGGGCAGTCAGTATGCCTTGTACTTGTACATAATATGTCCTGCAAGTGTAAGATATTCATCATTACACCCCCACCAAATCTATCAGCTTCTATACGCAAAACTCTCTCTCTACGGCGTCTGTACACCCTTGCCCTTCCATCAGCACGATGGAGTGAAAAATTTTCTCAATGAGACTTTAGATTTCATGCTGTGAGCAGTCGGGGTTCAACAGTTTAATTAGAATAGCGTATCAATATGTTTTGTACTAACGATCACTAAACGTACTACTAAAGCATTTCTTTTCATATAAAATGAAAAAATAAATTATTACTATAAATACCCATTAAATCAATATAATCAACTTTAATTCAAAGTTTGAAAGAATTATATGTAGAAATTTCATATTATGATTTTTAACTTTGAGAAATGTGTCAAAGTCCATACAATGTGACCGTGGACGATCAATTTCAATATGACTGAAAGAAGGAAATTAATCTACTTCCCGTTCAATAATAATTACACAAAAAATATTTAGGAACATCGCTGTAGACATGAAACATCATCAGTTAGTAACCTTCTTGTGCATGTTTATATTAAGCACGTTTAATTTTCTTTGCTCATGTTCCAGGGAATTTTCATATTGTAACACGTAGATATCCCTGTTTCATAATTTGATATACATGTATAATACAATTAATGTACCTGATTCCTTCATAACTATGATTATTATGACGATCGAATGTGATGCTTTTTGAATTATAATAGAATACTCCACTCAAAAATATATTTTTGTAGAGACTTCAAGAATTGTTGTGCAGGTTACATGTGGAATGTAGAAACCCAGCACTGCGAAAGTAAGGGAAATAAATCCATACTCCTGGATTCGGCTATAAAAATTTCATTTGGTTGAATGAATATGAAATACTTAAAGGCTTTCAGAACAGTTTGACATTCTTTTTTAAAATAAGATAAGACAATATTCATCCCTCCTTCTATGATCACAGACACCTAAAATGTAGATCGATATCCTACCTTCTTAAATTAAAAACAATTAAAGAGGTTTGTACGAGGGGTTATCAAAACATTTGTGGACTGAGGCTATTAAATTTTTACTAAGTAGTCTGTGCTTTCAAACTTTATTTGGAACATAAAACAACAAAATATAAAGAAATGCTGAAAATGTTACCCTAATACGTTCATTATTTGCCAAATTATGATAAAATAAAAACGACATTATATGATTACCCGGCGCTGTCACCGTTAGTTTCATGACGTCCGACAACGTCATTGTTTTTCAAGGTCCGCATCTGCTATCTCATACACTTTTTTGAGATTCCCTGGAGCTGAGTAAGGACTTAAACCCCCTTGCTTATAGTACTTTACCATGTCATGAACAGCGGCTTTCAATTCAATGTATATAATATTCCGAATAGATTTATGCATTGGGAGAGATTCTCGCTTGATTATGCCAGCATATTTTGCTTTTGGGAGCAAACTCCAAGTTTTGCTACAACGCATGACCAATGTCATTTTTTGACGTGATTGATTTTTCACACTTTGAATACAAATCGACATTAGCTGTGCATCCCTTTTCTCTCTGAATCTATTTTGACATTAAAAGACAAGTACTCTGGATGCATATTTTTTTCTCTGTAGCCAGTTTAAACAGTTCTTTGGTATATACCTTTTTTTCACGGGCAAATCTTTATAAAGTTATAACATGTTGGAAAAAGAAATCCCCCCTTTTGACGTCATTTTCAAGGCCTTATATATATTCGGTTGGACACTACATGCAAAATTTACGATAGATATCATCAAAATTTTCAGAATGAAGTAAAATTTTCATATTTTATGGAACAATTGTGTCCCAACAAATATCTGAATTAACGGAATTTTGTACGTCAATTGTTCATATCAATAGTTTTTTCTCAGTTACACATGGGTCGCTAAAACGTCACCTTTGCGCCGCCTGGACATACCATTGCTTACAAAAACATTACTAAATTATTTAAAAAATGAAATTTATTATTTATGATTTATTCTTTAGAGAGAAAAGTTGATGCTAACTATATATTTTAAAATTCATTGATGTGCTTAAACCGGTTTTAATATTAGAGCGCTAATCCACGGACTTTTTGATAACCCCTCGTATGTTCTAGTAGTAACAAAAAAAAAAAAATAATGAAATTTCGCTTTATCTCATTGGTTTAAGATTTGAAATATTTTACAGTTAACAAATCAGATAAAGCGAACAGATATGAGAACACCAAAACATTCTTCAGAGCAGTCAGTGGAAAAAATTGTGTATACCAATGTTGTTTCTGATCTTGTGTATTTTATATGCTTTCGTGTAAGGCCATTCTCTGAAGTTGATAAAACAAACAATCTGTTTGCATAGAACGATACATAGATATGATTGACGGGGGAATTTTATATTTCTGAGGTATTAAAGCTTTTACAATTTTTTAATAAAAAGAGGGTGCTATCGGTCTACACTTCGGACGCCTGTGCTTTGATTTGGTCAATGCAATTTTTTTTTCTTTTTTAAGAATGTTTACCGGGATACAGTGGAGTCAACTGTAGTCTTCCATGTCCTTATCCTTTTTATGGTGACGAATGTCAAGGAACATGTGACTGTGACAACAACACGTGTGATGTTTCCACTGGTTGCCTAGTATACACAACAAGTAAGGGTCTTGAATTTATTTTTCTTAATTAGAAACACGTAAAAATTTTACCTTTCAGTCGAAAGACACAAGGGTAGGCAAGTCAAGACACAGGGGGAAAGAAGCTGTGGTCAATTAATTGCAATTTAACGACACTTAAAACAGGATCGTTTTTAAAGCCTATTATTTCTCTTCATGTTTTCTTAAACACCTGAATGTTTTTAAGAAAAAAAATATATTTTCAGCAGACGTATGATTTTCCCAACAATATTAAAATGAAAACAATATTTCAAAATCAAGAAACGATAAATAAACTCTTCAAGTAACTACGCAAGTAAGTTAAGGCTAGGTAGAGGTATTTCTTGGGTATTTTTTACAGAGAGAAGGTTCAAGCTATTTTCTTATACATACTAAGTTCACACAGCATTATAGAGCAACTGCACTTTATGACGTGTATTTATAACAGCTCAGTTCTACATATCATTAAATGGCATCTTTAATAGTTTTTCCGCTAATCACCCACTGGGATCTACATTCTCAATACATACAGTTAAAAGACGTACAGTGTATCTATCATGAGCTGGTTATTTTTGCTACTTGGATTTGTTAAATATATTTATGCTGTGCTCATACCTTTTACTATTATTCTAAATAAAGTAAAGGCATTTAATAAGTATATTTTTATTTCAAGATATTAATGCAATAAATCATAATTTCAAATAAATTAAATTTTGGATTTGATTTTAAGGACATTGGAAAAACAAAACAGATAAAAAAAAATATTTGCATTACTCCTATGTGCTTGTGTCTTTTTAAAAATATTTTTACCTTAAAGGACTATTTGAGAAAAGATTTTTTTCTATAGCTTCCTTTGAATTCAAACTTTCCCACCAACAATCAAAAATTCTGCATGCAATCAAATAAAACATATTTTTGTTTACATTTGCAGCCTTCAAATGATTAACATATCCACATTAAACGACATTAAATACTTGTTAGCATTTTATTAGATGCGCTTAAAGGGGTTCTTTTAAGATTTTACATGACATTGTTAAGAATCTGAACAAATACAGTCTTCTTATCGCGGATGAAATAAACTTTTCGATTATCCATAAACAGAATCTATATGCATTATTTATTAAAGGATGAAACATAGTTACAGTGTAAATGCATTAATAAAAAATTATAGCAACGTAAACATTAAGCATTGAACAAATGCAAAATTAATTTAGATAACCCACTCGTACAGCACCATTATCTTCATTCTTTTATGCATGTGAACATCTTATTTATTTTCCTTATGGTAAATAAGCTGTATTGTTTTTGGTATTTTGGTATACTGTACATTTATGAATACGTCTGAGTTTTATTTTTCTTCGTCGTCTTTTACCTGCAATAAATTTAATAGTTTTAGTGAGCATCAAATCAAATAAAAAGGCATATCTTAGATCTAAATGAATATATTCACCAACAAACATAGAAAAGTAATTATAAATATAAGTAATCATAACTTAATACAAATGTTTTTGAAAAAAGCTTTTCAAAGCTGATATTAAGTAAATGAAATGTAAATATCTTGTATTTAAACTTTCTATTTTACTCTGTCTGAGTCATGTAAAACATGTTTTATTACCCAGTATTCTAGGAGCTTTGCTCTATTGACAATATGGTTTTTATCGACATGATTTGGACATGCGAATTCATGAACCTTGTTGATTATGTCTCTTTCTTCTATGAACTTTTTCTCACTTTCTTCAGTTAAATTGATATCTTTACATGAGAATCCAGTAACATATTTCACCGATTTATGAAATGTTGATGTAATTTTCCCAATCATTTCTTCAATCATTTCTCTGCAGCTTAACGTGTGTTCTATTTCCAGTTCTCTATTATCTCTTCTAAACATTTGCACTTGGATACAAGATTCGTTTATTGCAATTGCTATGTTATGATACCCTTGTCTATCTGTCATGTAAAAAGCTATATCTTTATAAAGCATCTTGCCTTTATCTAATACTTTCCATTTACCGATACAAGCCACAATCAGGCGGTAAAAAAAGAAATGCGGGATAAAGTCTGTGAATTTAAAATGTAGAATAGACGTCTTTTGGCAGGACATTATTTTACCAATAGAGGATAGATCGAAGTCCTTTTTATTCATACTCGGAATGTAGTACTTCACTTCATCCACTATTTCCGATTTCTCTGCGTCAGTTTGATTTGCAGTTTCATAATCGACCTCTGCAATAAGACCTAATTTGTTCATATAGGGTATTATTTTGCTCTTGTGTTGAATACACGACTTTGTTGTTTTATTATGTGTCCATATTTCCTGCAATAGTATGTCAGACAAAATTCCAAACTTGTTAAATAAGTTGAACTCATTGTTATTTCTGTAATGTTTATCAAAATGCTTCGGGTCGGTTATGATATGCTTAAAAGCATCGACAAACCACTGCACATCAACGATTATAACATCTTTTAAGCTTTCATTTGGAAAATGCAAGATTAATCCTACTTCGTGGTAGAATTTTAGAATATCACCCACATTGATATCCTTTTCAGTCTCAGGATAATTATTTCTGAAAAACATCGTCATGTCATTTCTTGAAATGATTTGTTTCTGTTGGTTTTCTTTTAAAAACTTTTCACAGTCACTCCATACTTTAGGTATTCTTTCACCCCAGTGTGATAATGCTTCCGCGGTATCGACAATCGCTTTTCTTATTTTTTCTATGTCTTTGTTTTTTGTCCATGGCATTCTAGGTGGAAATCCAACTTCAAAATAATGATCGAATGATAGATGTCCCACCAGACTCTGGTCTCCAGGAATACATTTTATCAAAGAGTCATAAAACAACCCGTCCTTTGCTTCCTAAAATGAATGTAGTGACAGTAAATTAGTACAGAAACGGGTGTAAATGTTTTTTTTATGTACTATAGCAAAATAAAACTGTAAAGAACTGGAAGGATCACTTTGTTTCATAATTTAAGTCAAACTTACAATTTTTCAGCAAGAAAATAAATAGTAAAATGATACACATTATTTTAGTTAACATATTATAACCATCACGATGAACATTTATTGCCATCATTAATAATTAAAGTGAGATAAAATCAACGAATGAAAAAAAAAATGAAAAATGATTTTGCGTTTAAAAAAATGAATTTTCTTTTGCAAATCATGACCCAATTTCCCACTGCATTAATTTGTGCAAAAATGTAATCCAATATACTCTTTGTTAAAGTATGATAAGTAGGCATTGCTACATTTTACAAGTGCAAATTCTGTAATAATCTTCCAGTATTCCAAGAGGAAAGGGGATACTGTCGATGAGTTAGAAATATAAACTATAAATTCAGTTATTGCAAGCAATAGCGTATGTCGCCCCGAAGTGGACAAGACTTTCATTTTTCATCACTTAAACAATACCCATTAGCTAAGCATGGACAACCATCAACTCGTATCAGTCCTTTCGGTGCTTTGATTTAAAAATCAAAGTTAAAGAATTTTCACTCTCACCTGTTTCCATGGCAACTATTGACAATTTTCAATTCTTAAATGCAACACACACAATAACAGATACTAATCATTAAATTAATAAAGTTTCATGGCGAATGTCCAAGGGTCCAGAGACAACACTCGGACAAAATTCTACGCTTTTAGCAGTGTCCATGGCAATGGTAGTCATTTTGAAACTGAATGACCACACAACACAACTACAACCTGTGATCGTCCTTTGAGGAAAGTTTCAAAAAGATTGTCCCAGCCATCTTCGAGAAACCCATAGAACAAAAACATGGCTTGCGTACAATCGCAATTGGTCGCCCCCGACTTCGTTTGGGGCGCCATAATAATACTGTTTATGGTATCAATAAAGAAAAAAATATATGTTTTGGTAGGTTTTACAAGGGTTAATATTATTTTTTTTCTTCTCATTTGGTTTTCATTTCCTGTGATTTTCATTGATCTTTCTGTGGCGTTATATCCCGTATCACATATATACGATAATAATTTCCACGACTCTTCATAGATCACTGCGGGAAGCAGAAATCAGATCATTTTTTCATTGAATTTTGATACTCTCATTAAAATTTAAGTCATCAGACATGCGACAAGATTGCCTATTGGTTATATCATTTTTATGGGGCGTGGAAATCTCAGGCGCACCACGCCCTCGATTTCCATGCCCCATTAAAACGATATATTCAATATTACTCGGCATCTCTGATGTAACCTATACTTGCTTATTTATTCCTGAAGAATAAAAACTTTAGCATGAATGATTTTATGAAATCTCACAGTCAATCTTGAATTCCCAGGCTAAAAAAATCAAAGCTGCTTTTCGTGTTGCTTAAAAAACTATGCAAAAAAATTCATTAGTAGTGTTATTATATAATTCAAAACGCATCAATACCTCGTTTGAATGAGAACCTGGGCATATGCAATGGCTTTCCTAAAAAAAGAAACAAAAACTATTTTAAAAAAAAGAAATCTCCCTTTTTCTAATAAATATAAAAAATGATATATGAGAAAGTATATATTACAACAATGCAACTCTGACCTATTTTTTAAAGATTTTTTCTTGGTTACATGTAATTCGAGCATCAACATTGATGCACTAGATATATCCCTTTTTTCAAAGTACAACAATGAATAATTATTAAATAATTATAAAGTTATGAAAAAACATCTGTTTGGTTTTATTTTCGGAACGGATATATAATAATCAATGTGCATATGTTAGGGTGTTGGTCTGCAGCTAAGCAAAACTCCATTTTTTCTACATATGAAAAAAAAACATGGTCAAATGTTCGTAAAACTATACAATAGCACAGAGCAAACAAGGACCTCCAAAACATCAGAAGTGTGATAAGGTGCTATGGAGAAGTGAGCTCCCCCTGCTGACAAGTCACACCCGTCGTGTGCTCGCTTTCAAAATTGAGAAACAATCCATCGTCAATTCAGTGTATAAATAATGGACAAACAATTAGTATGAAAAATGTGAGTCATCATATGACTTAATGATACATTGTATTTGCTGACAAGGTCATTGTATCGACCATAGAACTTACGAATTATGACTTTAAACGAGACTGTTGATATTGTTGTTTCAGCAACTTGTTTTTCAATAATTTACCTCGGTTTAGAATTTTTTATACGTAGAGACCTTAACAAAAAATACTATAGTTAACTATAGTTAACTATAGTTAACTATAGTTATAACTTTGACACTTTGAAAACTTTGACAAAAACTTTGACACTTTGAAAAACTTTGGCGAAAACTTTGACACTTTGAAAAACTTTGGCGAAAACTTTGACACTTTGAAAATCTTTGGCGAAAACTTTGACACTTTGAAAAACTTTGGCGAAAACTTTGAGACTTTGAAAAACTTTGGCGAAAACTTTGACACTTTGAAAAACTTTGGCGAAAACTTTGACACTTTGAAAAACTTTGACACTTTGAAACTTTGGCGAAAACTTTGACACTTTGAAAAACTTTGGCGAAAAACTTTGACACTTTGAAAAACTCTTATCGAAAACTTTGACACTTTGAAAAACTTTATCGAAAACTTTGACACTTTGAAAAACTTTATTGAAAACTTTAATACTTCAAAAAACTTTATCGAAAACTTTGGAACTTCAAAAAACTTTATAGAAAACTTTGACACTTTGAAAAACTTTATCTAAAACTTTGATACTTTGAAAAACTATATCGAAAACTTTGATACTTTGAAAAACTTTATCGAAAACTTTGATACTTTGAAAAACTTTATGGAAAACATGGATACTTTAACACTCAAAAAACTTTATCAAAGACTTTGACGCTTTGAAAACTTTGACACTTTGAAAAACTTTATCGAAAACTTTGATACTTCAAAAAACTTTATCGAAAACTTGGATACTTTAACACTTCGAAAAACTTTATCGAGACTTTGACACTTTGAAAAAGTTTATCCAAAATTTTAACACTTTAAAATTAAAAACTTTATCGAAAACTTGGAAACTTTGAAAAACTTTATTGAAAACTTAGACACTTTGAAAAAGTTTATTCACAACTTTGATACTTAAAAAAAACTTTATCAAAAACTTGGATACTTTAACACTTCGAAAAGCTTTATCAAATACTTTGACACTTTGAAAAAGTTTATGAAAAACTTTGACACTTTAAAAACTTTGGCGAAAACTTTGACACTTTGAAAAACTTTATCAAAAACTTTGACACTTTGAAAAACTTTGACAAAATCTTTGACACTTTGAAAAACTTTGGCGAAAACTTTGACACTTTGAAAAACTTTGGAGAAAACTTAGACACTTTGAAAAACTTGGGCGAAAACTTTGACACTTTGAAAAACTTTGGCGAAAACTTTGACACTTTGAAAAACTTTGGCGAAAACTTTGACACTTTGAAAAACTTTGGCGAAAACTTTGACACTTTGAACAACTTTGGCGAAAACTTTGACACTTTGATTTAACATAGTTAACTATAGTAAACTATAGTTAACTAAAGTAAACTATAGTATTTTTTTGTTAGGGGAATGCTCTTCCGTATCGAATCAACTGAGATATATAAACTCCGTATGCAGGGGATGAACTAAGAAGCAAGAGTTAAACGAAGAGACGACAAAATCGTTGTTTGAGAAAACCTGTATTTTATCTGCATGGGTTGCCACGAGTATAACTGGACTCAGATCCTTGTTTCTTTTTTCAGGCAGAATAAAATCTTCTCTTTCGTCACAGTATGTATGTATTGATTGCAACCAGAACCGGAAAAAGTTCTATGAAATAAAGTAACAATAAAATTGCAATTACATTATATATATTCGTTTTTTTTTTGTTATCCATCTAGATCAAATAAGATGAGAAATCACTTTAATTAAAAAACTTAATTTAATGAATAATCAGGAAAAAAACTCAAGTCATTAAGAAATCTATTCGAGCAGCCATCAAAAGTGATGTTAGCAATTAAAAGAAATCACCTTGTACGTCCAGTTTTCAAATAGTGATCCTCTCATATCACTTCTATTCGTAGTAGGAACCGTTGACTCTAAATCTTTTGTCATGTCAACAACAAGGATATAAAAGGCCCTTCTTGACAAATACACCTGGTGACAGGCATAATAGGCCACTTGTCCAGCAAAGTCTGTGATGCTTATCAGATTTCTCGACGAGTTTGAAGCATCATCTTTGCCTTTGTCGTATTCTGAAACATAATACTGTTGATTGTTTATGATAAACTAACTTAGTATTCAAATCTAAATTATGCAAATACTATTCAAAAATACTAATCAAAATTAAACCACTGTGCATATTGTGCTTTCTAATGAGTATCCTTCGTAAAAAATATTGCTTTTAACTTTGACAAACTTAATTTGTCAAAATCAAGAAATATTCAGAAATGTATACAGTTTCTATATTGATGATAACATGAGCCAATCTAATCGGCGCTTTCATAAATTAGATGACGTAAAAAAGTGATTTTTAATTTATGTCCTAAGGTACTAGTTTCTGGTGAGGACCTGTTATTAGACTGACAGGTATTTTTACAATTTAATTTTTCAGGTTATACAAGTTTAATTGAATTTCCCTCAGTACTACAAATACGATCAAACAAATTTCATAATGATATAGAAATCTGATTACGAAATTATAAATGCATTTCTGTGTAGCGCTGAAACCTTCTGTCCATACAAAAACAATTAAATAGCATTGCGGGGGGAAATCATGTCTAATACATTGTTAAAACACCGTCATTTTTGTTTCTATTCTAAACTTTATACCGGGGAATAAAGCCGGAATTAAAGCAAATGTATCAGAGGATCATCACAAATTAAAGACAAAAAAAACAAATCTGACCCCTTGTGCAAGTTTTTAAACCATGGTTGTTGTTATATATTGCATAACATTTCTAAACTGGTATAGCAACGTAAATGTATGTCTTTCATATTAAAAAAAATCATTTTAGGAAAATGGAAAGTTTAAATTTTAGAGCATTATTTAGTGATGAAAGAAAACAATTAATTTAAGATAGTGATTCTAACTGAAATTAAATATAGTATAATGCCTTTTGCTATGAAAACTGTACTTAAAATTTTGAAACTTAAATTGACTCTGAATCGTTTTCTTAAAGAGGGGTTTAGAATCTTTAAATCTCTTAAATTATATTTCAATTATGCATGTACGTAGATTATGAAATAACATTTGAAAATAAAAATAATACATTTAGCTCTTTTTGATGTAAGAGAGCTGCATATAATAATTGAAAATACAAAATGAAATATTGCACTTTAATAGCCAATGCTCCATTGATTTCTAATGTATTTACTGCAAAGATCTGATTATTGCACAGCTAATATTTCATCAAATATCGGGATTTTTTTTTTATTTCACAAACAATATTTATTTACATATTTTTTTTCTACAATACAACATTTATTTATTTTCTTCCTTTTTTTCAAATCTTATTCTAAATTTGTTAAACTGTAATTACTTATTGACTGTTCATAGCAATGTATCGTACTTCTTATAAAATTTCATATCTCATTGTGATTCTTTTTTTATGAGATCACGTGAAATATAATGGACAAAAGACCTATTATTACATGTATAATATTTTATATTTACAATTGCTGTAGTCTTTCTTTATATAACAATGCTAAGTAAATCAAATTCAATTTTCCAAAACATGCAGTTGGTCAAATAATCAGATTTTCTCGTACGTGTCATTGGGAATGTTCCGATTCTGGCGACTTCCATTTCCAAACTAAAGTCTAAATAATGCCTAGATTTCTTGGTAACTTAAACAAGATCGTTTGACATCTATATAAGAAATAAAATATCATTTTTTTTGAGTTTCATTGGGCTATGACATGAAGTCGGTTACGTGATCAAATTCTATATCGCCCTAAGAGCATTATGGTACATGTATATCTGATCACGTACCGACTTCATGTCATTCCCAAATAATAAAAAAAACCTCTAAAAATTATATACTATTTCTAAAATAATTATACATACTAGTATACTACAGCTGTGTAGTATAGAGATAGGATTCAGTACTTCATAAGAAATTTATATCAAGTTACTTTTCATCTAATACTTAAGGAAGGATATTATTGATATTTCATCGGAAACAAATTATTTTTTGGATCTAAATGTAATTGCTATGCTATAGTATATCACCGTTTAAATAGTAATCACTTCAGTATTTTCATTAAAAGTATGTATAGAGATTGAACAATTAACCACAAAATACATGAATCAAAATCAGAAAAAAAAGTATTTAGAGTCGGATTTTTATAACAAGTAACATATACTCTGTAGAGCTTTTGGCCAGCGTAGTACGCGATGTTTCGATATTTTTATATTACTTTAGCTGAACTTACCAAGCAAAGTGTTATTTTCTACTACAAATAGATCATTGTGCACCTCTAGGCCAATAGTGGTCTTTGTTTTTTGTCTTCTCTTGCCCAAATTTTTTCTCATAAGTTCTCCTAGTAAGGTTGTTTTTCCAGCACCAGCACATCCTATAAGCATGCCTCGGGCATGAAAAACTTCTGTGCTCTCCAACTTGATTTTATTAAGAAATCGAATACGCTCTTGATGACTCCACTTCAGAACTTCTAATGGTATCTTGCCTAATAAAGAAATGAAATCATTTTTGACTAAATTCAAATGCAATTGTTTTGTAAAATGCATACATTGATTGGCTTATGCACTGTACTTTTTTAATTAGCTACACGATCATCAAAGAGATTAAAAGCTTTTGATTTCGACAATGCGAAAAATATGATATCGTTGCATACAATTTTAGAACACTTTTATATAAATGTGCATTACTACGGCTTTATATGAGACCTAATTGCTTTCAATTTAATAAGACCTGAAAATATTGATTAATACATTTTAAAAAATGTCTCAATTTAAGTCCAAACACGCTTATTTAATTTTTAATTTTACATTTACAAGCCTCAATAATCGCTTATTCTACTCTCAAAAACTTAGAAGAAACTGCGTATCAAACAAGTCTATGACGTCATCTCAATCAGTACACCGAGATCTGGCAGAAAGAAGATTCCTTCCTGCTCATAGCCCAGAGTGCCGAGTAAAGGACACAATTTGCAGCTCTCCAACGCCAAGTGGTGGCGCATCAATGTGAATGAAAACATCTTGAGAGAGATGTTCAACATTATACAGTCAATCAATCAATCATTTTCAACTAATGAATATAAAAAAATAATACATTAAATACATTAAAGAATATGACTCAATTCAGGTCACATCTTGCTTTTTTAGGAAACTTTGCATAAAAAAGATACAATAATACATGTAGCTACATTTACGTCCGAAATACAGTAAAACTGAGTGGTAAACTAAACCGTGGCGTCATTAAGAAAGTACAGCAAGATCAAAATGTCTTTAATTCTGCACTTAAATCGATTATTTGGACAAGACAAGTTACACATCAGTTTATGTTTAAAAATTATATTTATGAGAAATTAATGAATGTGAATGCCAACAAGACGTTAATATCCCCCCTCCCCAACTTTAACGTGACGTCACAATGGATTTCCAGAAGCTCTGCATAAGCAAAAGGAACTATGGGAGTTCCAAACATGGCCACGATCCCCAAAAAGTTTTTAAAAAGATTTTTTAAAATATTTTCAATTTTATATTTAGTCTCATGTAATAGAAATAACTTACATTGTTTAGACACTTCTAAATGAATATGTTCATCTGAGATAGTAGGATGAACTATTATGTCAATATTCAAAATCTTAATCAATTTTTCTGTTTCCTTCTCCGATAAGCAGATACAACTTTCTCCCGACTCTGCTTTGTAGCCTTGGGATCGAAAGTATTTTGATACAAATGATTTTGTGTGTTCCTTATATCTAAAAGCATAGGTTATTACAAAATCTTTAATTGTACCGTCTTTCTCTTGCACATATTCATCTGAAAAGAAAAAAAATGAAACTAAGGACATTTGAACACATTCGGGGCAGTGTAATTCGTAGAAGAACACCCTCTTGTTTACCCCTATACACAGCTGCATAAAATAAACATTGTTGCATAACTATCAATCTACAAAACAAAATAAGTGTAGACATTAATCCTAAAAATAGACAAAATGTTTATACTCTAATCTATATTATATTTCGATCCCAAATGCCTGTAAATCCTCCGTCTAGAAGAAGAAAACATAACAGTTTGACAGCTCAAAGAATTCTTCTAAGCGATTTTTAATTTTTTTATTTTTTTTATTTTTTTTTTTGTCTATTATTTTCAATTTATTGTCAATGATTTTTTCAAACTTTACGTGCAATATTTACTATTAAGAGAAAATAATAAAAAAAAATTGAGAGGAACAGCATAGGTACACTATTGTATAAGTAAATACCTGTTCGACGCCATCTTAGACATGGAAATTAAAGTTTTGCAATTTTTACCATATATACACGTAAGATTACTTTTCAAAATGAAACGTCCTTTTACATGTACCCTTATTGTTCATATCGTTGTACATTAGACAGGTTGCATAACACTTCATGACAATTTCTTTCATAAGGATTTTTAGATCAACATTGTTTTTCTGATAACAAGAAGGTGATTTTTAAAGAAGGTCAAATATATATAAATATCTTTATAATATTTTTAGGTAAAAAATTGAACGTTGATCATTTAAGTTTTGTACATTTAAGCGCATAGAAAAGTTAACGTATAAAATAAATGGTGGTATCACATATTTTCCTTAAAAACCTTGAAAGAAACTTACTTACCATCAATTATTATCTTTTTGAGGACAGAATTTTCTTCCATATCTGATTCATCTTTTCCGGTGAAGTGTTTACTAATGAGGAATTCTAAGTATTTTTCAACATGTAAAGACGATAAAACTATGCAGGTTTCACTATCTGAACATTTGTGTCCATCAAGTCGAAGAAATCTAATAATAAGGTTGGCAAGTTTGTTATCAAAAACATAATCTATCAAGCGTTTCGGAACGTGACACCTTTGCAACAGTGTCCAAAACGTCTGAATTTTTGCCTCCTCAGAAGCAAATGTAATGCTTCCTTCCCATGAAATAAGAGTTTCTTGCTTCACTGCTGATTCTCGATAATCGTTGATATTTAAGCGAAGGGTAGATTGTAACAATTGGTTAATTCTATCTAAATGATTTTCATTAATTTCTCCCCATTTTAAGGTAAAATTTTTACTTAATAAAACACAACAATGAAAAAGGAATTTCAATTCTGCCTGTTTGTTAGACTCCGGGAACAATCCTGTAATGTATCAAAATATAGAAATAAAAATTCAATCATATGATATTGCAACATCAATTAAGTAGTGAAATTTTGCATTTTTAGCATTCAAATGTAAGCAACTATTGAGTAAAAGTTATGAACATATTAATCAGAATTTAATTTAGTTAACATTCATTATAGAAGTCTGTAGGTAGGTCTGTTGAATAAAAATAGTGTATTGTGTATATACAATTGGGAGATTTCATAGGAAATACAATTAGTTTTACTGACTATTTATTTGTTGAATGAAAATAAGAGATAGTCTTCTCACGAATAAAAGGGTTATTAAACGTGAGAGACAAAATGGGGCATTTGTATTTCAAAAAACTCGCTTCATTGATTATAAAGAGAACTTGAACAGAAATCACTTTACCTTGAAGTCCAGAAGCGTCCCCAGGATACATAGATGGCCGTGATATTTCAGTAATTTCAACAATACTATTTACATATCTATCTTTATCGCCATTCCAAATGATGCACACATATTTCTCTGCATTCCGAGACAAATCTTCATCTGAATGGGCCATTTAGTTTCAGCGTTTGGATTTCTGCAGTAAATTATTTTTCTTGTACCATATTGCAGTAAAATCATAAACATATCAAACAATTCATAATTATTATACCTCTGTTTATTTTTTCTATATAAAAATAAGTCGAATAATCAAGCTATTTTTTTTCTAAACAGTCTCTGTCGTGAAATAGTTTTTGTGCTATTTGCCCATGGTGAATAGCCCTCAAATTTTTCAACGGCAGCATTCGATTTCCCTCGCTTTTCATTTCGGAAGACTTCTGATTTTATATGGATTGTGACGTATATATTATGACGTAACAAAAGTAAAGTCAGCATCGGTATAATAAAACACCTATTTACTGACTATTCGGACAATAGCAACTTTATCGTCCCCCTCGACAGCAAACTATTTCCCGAGGCGCAGCCGAGGGATTGCGCCTCGGGAAATAGTTTGCTGTCTTGGGGACGATAAACTTGCTATTGTCCTCATAGCCAGTAAATAGGTGTATAATGTAAACTTTACAAAATGTCAAAAAGAATAAATTATTATCTAAAATATGAAATATTTTTATGAGAAATATTTTAGCTATAGAATTCTCTTCTAATTTAAGTTTTATTAAAATTTTATTGGTTAGTGGAATTTTATGAAGAACATGCTTTACGTATGAACAATTTTTAAAACGAAGTAGATTATTGACAAACAAGTTGATGAAACAAGAATTCCAGCAGTTTCATTTCAAGTCATCATTTTGCAGTTCTAAGTTAGAAATGAGATATTCCCTGTTTGACGTAAAATTTAATGTAGAAAAATGATGAATCTCATTGTAGGACATATTTGTAGTTTAACAGAGTGCTAAACAGTGCATCAAGTAGGTGTTATTCTCACACTCATCATATACAGAGTTGTAAATGCAAAACTAAGAGACGTGGATACTGGAAAAGGAAATTTAGCAAAAAGCAGTAAGCCTTAGAAAAGTGTATGTCTTAAAGGGAAGGTATATGGTCAGAAACAATTGGTGAATTTTCTTTAAGATGTGTATTGATTTACAGAATACTAGGTGTTTTATCCTACTCTATAGCATGTATAGGGCCTAGGGGGTAGCATTATGGTTGCGACTGAGACTTTAACCTTCGCTTGGGGTGAAAAGCCACAGAATATTCACGTCCAACAGTAGGATTTGTACTCGCGGTGTAACAAACAACTATTTACATCGCGACATTTTAGTAGACGCTCTTATCACTGACGGTTTTTTTCCCTGAAATTCTTCAACAGCCAGAATAAATAACAAATAATATTTAATGCCAAGAGCGTTAAGATCATTAAATAAAAAAAAGTTCCAGTTATTTTGTCTTCATACAAAAGTAAAACACTAGCATAGAACACATACCTATATTGACAGCATATGTATCTGCATGACCTTCAGGTGCGAAGCATTGGTACCTTCCTTTGTCTTCCATTTTAACATCAAAAATGAATAAATTTCCATGTTTCTCTGTTGTGTATTTGTTAACATGACCCTCTACATTGATTTCTTCGTCGTTCTTCTTCCAGATAACTTTCTCACTTTCATTACCACATTTGAGCCTTAAGTTATTTCTAAACTGGTAGACCTCTGGAAAAAAGAAACTTGTTTCGAAAACTCTCAGTTTTCAAAAAGATGAAAGATACCTTTGCTTTAGAATTATAGTAACATGGAGAATATTATCAAATTAATAAATACGTCAGTAATATATCATCTCATCAGAATCGAGAATTGAAAATATAAATACTAATTGAATGTTAATCTTTAAAGTATAAAATGCTGTACTTTGTATTTAATTTAAAGCTAATTTAAAAAGATCTAACTAAACCTACTTGTAAAATACTCGATTTTCGTATCCAATCCAAACTCAATGTTTTTATTTGGAATTGGCTTGTATCTTTTGCATCGTTCAAAGATTTTTCTCTTTTTGATACAAAAAACAAACACAATTAAAATGTTCATCAACATCATAGTAGATAGCATGGCTGATAATATAATTATTATTTTCATCTGCGAAGGATTGTCTGTATGGAAATAATTTCTGCGTGTGCAGTTCTTCTTTTCAAAGGTAGTGGTTGTGTTTCCTTTATAAACACCAGGATAAGTCCAAAGAGTAGTTGATGAGTCTGTTAATACCGTGCTGTAATATGCAAATTAAATTCATTATTAGCACTCATTGTAATAAATTATATATTTGATGTAAATTTACTTTCTTTAACGTTTTTTTCAAGGTGATTATGTAAGCTTAATGATTGTAGTATAAATACGAAACACGAAGATAAGAAACAGTAATCAATTTTAGAAGTTTATCTTAAATAATATAAATATGGAAACGTAAACTTGTTTTTTTATTAAGGATAAAAAAGACAACCAAACTTTTTTTATAAATCAGAAATATTTCCGATAGATTTATAAATACACTAAAATTGGTCACCTGAAATATGTTTGCTAAGTAAAGTTGTATCAGATTTTGCTATTAGGTTAGAAAATTGTGCAATATTTCTTATGGAGTTACATAGAAAGCAAAACAAAGTCCCATACCTATGCACAAAGGAAAACCTCCGGTTTCTTTAAGGGATTTATTATCTATGTCATTTCATTTCAAAATCAGTCAAAAAATATACCGTTAAGTACCCTCAATTTAGGAAATGCATTTATGAGACTTGCCTGTTATATTGCTTAAGGCCCTTTCACAATTGGCGCACGAGCACTTCACAACACTTTGCGATGGGAAAATTTTAGCTTCGCACGAGCTATCGCATACGTTGCACGATGTCTCGCATTCATTGCATGTGTTTTTTCGCATCAGGTCTCCTCAAAAAAGTCAACATGCACACTATTCAGACGCGACCAAATGCGATCCAAAATATCGCAATTCAACGGGATTTATTATTTATGTCATTTCATTTCAAAATCAGTCAACGTTTTACTAAAATATATACCTTCAATTGCCATGCTTTGCAACATGTATATTTTTGTTTGTGTGAAGAGCCTCGGAAACAATTTAGGAATATATATTTCGCACGAACATTGTACTATGGAATGTGAGCGCACGAACAGTCGTATTGTCGCACGTTCAATCGTCCGATTACCTGATCTGATTATCGCATTATCTTTCGCTTTCATTCTACAACACATATAGACGCAAGATATATCGCAAGATTTATTGCACAACAGTCGCTTTAGATCTGCGAATACGAACACTTTTTACATATGCTGGCAACAGTTTACGATATAAACAAAATACATGCTGCGCCAATTGTGAAAGGGCCTTTAACTGATTTCCTTGACTGGCAATCTATATCAGCTAAGTAACATCTATTTTTCTCGTCGATCTCCGAACACTTTGGGTCTTGAATAAATATCAATGAAAATATGATAGATGAGTTACATTTTTATTAACTTCAGATACATGTAAGTGTTATGGGATTATATTTTAAATATTTGATATACACTATACTCTAAAAGCAGGACATTTTGTTGGGGATGACATTTTATTTATTTTGTTGTAAACGATCACTTTTAGAGCTACTTTCTAAACAACAAAATTTAATGTCCACGAAAGTTCAATATGTTTTTCTTACATTGAAACATGTCGCTACTAAAGTACGGCTGCGGAGGACAACCATCTGTGAACGTCTCACAGCTTCTTTGGTGTAAGAATCCAGAACTTGAAAGGTGTAAGCATTTTCCTACGTAGAGAATATATGTATACATGTACACGCGCTATGTTAAAAGAATTTGCATAAAGATTTTATTAATGCAATCATTAAAAGACATTTCTTTTTGCTCTTTTCATGTCAAATCTATTGATCACTTAGTACTATTTACATTTTATGAAAAGTTTATTATTCAAAGAATAATTTTTGCAACACTTCTGTGACATCATTCATGCCGGTATCCTAACTTTAAGTGCAAATGAACAGTACTACTTCTTTCATAATGTAAAATTCTCCAAAAATAATAAGTTTTATTAAGCACATATTGGGTTGTGAATGACAAGTGTTCAGCGACCAGATTATGTTCATTTTAATGAAAAGGAAGAGTAGTATATTTTTGTGGCATTTCAAATGTAGTGGTTTAGATTTTAATTTTATAGCCTTCGTTTCGTAATTCATAATCTACAAGTAGTACTACAAGTGGTATTTCAGTCTGATAATTCTATTTACCATTTGTTTTCAGTTGTTACGTACTTAAAACCCCTTCATTATTTGTCATTTATAAGTTAGAACATGAGTTGACATTCCACATGTTTTACATTTTTATGTTTTACAGGAAGTGTCATTCATGTTGGCAGTCTTTCCGTAGTACTTTTGGTAGCTGTTTTCTGATTGCTTAACTTAGCTTAGAATCTTTGATAGCCACTGGTTTTTATTTTGACCTTGCTAGGGTATTTAAACCCGTGTTCGAGCAGTTTACGTCACTTGGGTTGGGGAACACAACCTCATGGTTAGTTCGTCTTTTCTGTGCTAAAAAAACCTCATGGTTTATGAGCACTATTTGATTAGATACTTAGAGGGCTAAGAAAACCTCATGGTTTAACAGTACTCTAGGTCTTAACTTAGCTTTAGCTTCTTTCTAGCTGAAATTTAAATCAAACAATTCTACCGTCTTTCAGTTCTAAAATGTAGAATTCCTGATAACTAGGGCTTCACCTCGCATACTTGATTATCTCCTAGATCCTTGCCGGACTTTAGGCATGAAGGAACAGAGACAAATAATTTGTTTCACACTTCCAGGTAACGGTTATTTTGTAGATGCATTAAAACAAATATTATTACTATTAACCCTCTTCCCCACAGTCACGCATTTTAACGCATATACCATTTCCTATTTCTAACGCAAAATCACACATATACCGTTTCCCCGCAATCACGCATTTTCACGCACTTTAAAAAGTTCATTTAATCCTTAATTTAATGACTACTTCCTTCTATTTTATACTTGAAAAAATCTCATCAAATAAGAAATGTTATTTTTGCATTAAAATACAGCGTCATAATATTATTTACGCTAAACTTTAGAGAAACGTGTACCACGCTAAAAGGTGCTCGCGGGGAAATGGTAAATTTCTGTTTCCATGACGTGAACATTCAGTGTATGTTGCATAACAGTACAATAAGTTGTAAAGTGTTAAAAAACTAATTATTTCTTTCTATAGAGTCAGGGCTCTAGAGTTATGTGAGCCCTGTAAGTCAAACATAACATCGTGCTGGAGTCATTTCATTGATTTAAATAAATTGCTTAAAATTATCCACATATTCAAAGAACTCTTAAAAGTATTTTACTATTCTCAAGTTTCTTTTTTTTTTTGAAATTTGGTAATTCGATCAAGAAAACTAACAAATAATCACGACAAATTTACAACCATACCATTTGTGTAACGAATAAGGGATTTATTTAAACAAGTATATGCAAGTATTATTTTGTTATCATAACGAATAGTGTCTTAGTTGCGAATTTGAATATATTCTTAAAGTTTATTTTCAAAATTTTTGTCCTTCGCGTATAATTAAAATTTAAAGAAGATCTGCAACACAGTAAAATTTTTAACGATTGAGAATCCTGAGCTATGATTTATTACCTTTTTCATAAAAGCCCATGTCAAGATCATAGCAAAACTAAATTTTAACAAAACACGAGGGCTGAAATGTCCTGTGTTGGAATGCACTGGTACTGGTATTTTAAGTCTACTGTGAAAAATACTAAAATCGGTCTGTGGAACAATTTAACCTTAACCCAGCTTTGTTCCATGATGTCTTCGTTTCAGGGCATGAACTTACTTTATGTACTGGAAACCGATATTGTGCAAAAATCTTCAAAAGGTTATTATAATACATGTAATATACATTTTGATATTTTCCATTACGATATCTAAAAAGAAAGCCAAAACGTATAAATGACTAAAGGCAACTAAAAAGTTTGTGTTCAAATTGTCCTTGACATGTTTACCTCAGAATCAGACCTCGTTTAAGTCTCTCTCTCTCTCTCTCTCTCTCTCTATATATATAACATTAAAGGATATAAATGCATCAATGGCCTAGATATACAAATATATATATATGTATATATATATGAAAAAAAAAGACTTATTTTGATGCACACATGGAGTCTTTTAAATAAATCTCTTTTGAAATTAATAGGACAGGGTGGGGGGGGGGTCACCAATACTTTATATCGCGAAAACAAAAATATATAACTTAACTTAGCGAAACTCTTTCGCAATGGAGGCAGGAAAGTTCTGTTGGGTGGTGCAAATGTGATACTGAATACAATGCAAGATCGATCATTATAAGAATTTATAAGGGCGGAAAAGAAGAAAAAAATATCTTGGTAGAATACCTCGCTAAACAATCACTGAACTACCCTAATCAATTTTTGAGAGAAGGGAATCCTCAAATGTTACATTTTTAACAATATTTTGTCTAAGAGGACTCTGCTCATTAAATTTTCATATGAAAATTGTAAACATTTTTTTTGTTTTAATTCTAAAGCTAATAACATGTTCAGGGAAAATTTAAACTTTTCTTATTTGACAATCTACTATTTGGAGTACAACTCGTGGCAATACATGAAACTTTCGGCATGAAATTGTTCGAATCATTCGATTGTCACTACGAGGAACTACCGGTCACGGTAGCCTAGTGATAGAGCGTTCGCTTCGTGATCGGGAGGCCTGGGTTCCATTCTCGTTCGCGGCGCCGCGTCAAACCTAAGACGTAAACATAGGTAGTGACTGTTCCTTCGCCAAGCGCTCGGCACTAGAAGTGAAAGTCATGGGTATTTTGGATATGACCTTAAAAACTTAGGTCCCGTGTCACGGTAGGCGCTGGCACGATAAAGAATCCTCACTGCTCAATGACCCTGAGTGCCGAGTATAGGTCTAAATTTGAAGCCTTTCACCGCCATACGGTGGCGTCTCCATATGAGTGAAAAATTCTCAAGAGGGATGTTAAACAACATACAAACAATCTAAGGAAGGAACTTGTTACAAGAATACATATGTAATATATGAATGCGCTAGTACCAAACAACAAAGTAAGAACCAAGGTTTAACTTTTATTAAACTCTACCTTGAAGTGTGACTTTTTTTAAAAAATAGAACATTAACATTGACCACATTATTAGTTAGTGCTGGGGTTTTCAAATTCTAAATACCTATTCGTTACAAAAAGATCCTTCCTATGACGTGGTACTATTATTTTTATCATTTGACCTTGGAAAATGACAAAATTTTGGGATAAAAAAAGTTTAACCTTGGCCCGAACTTAATTATGGGTAACCAAAGAAGAAGACACATCTGGACTAAACGGATTTTTTAAGAGTATGAATATTGTGTCCTAAAACAATATAACCACATAATAATTCAGTTTCTGCCCCAATGAGAAATCTGTTAAATTTTACACCGTCGGATAATTCCAGATTCTTTACCGCAATCAAAATCTTTGTTTAACAGTTCTACTTATCAATACTTGCATTGTTCGACGATTAAGCGGGTATTCCTTGATAACACCAACAAAAACACAGGTTTTATACCCAATTCTGATACAGTATTGGATATCGCGTGTGTGTTAACAACCTGCAGCTGGTATTCAAGATTTTTATCGCTTGTGTTTAAATTCTAAGAAATCTAACTTATTTTAGAGAGAAAAAAATTGCAAGGGGAATATTTTGTCCTTAAATGAATTAGTTTTTTTTTATTTTAGTTGGTTATCTTTCAGATGAGTAATATAATAATGTGTTTCCAATTTTGATTCACAAATTGAATTTGGTTTTTAAATATCATATTTAAAATTAATTTCTTGGTATGACCCCGTTCCTAAATGTCATGAATGGAATTTCCTTATTAGTTGATTAGAAGTTAAAAAATATTAAATCGGTTGAATATAGTATACTGTAACATAAATAATATATAATTACATGTATGTAATGTGTTTCCATTTAAATACTTAAAGTGTTGTGGTTTATTGAATAAAAAAAATAGAGTTGCCAAGAGTTTATTTGCAATGTCGTAGAATGACTCGGAAGTGAATGGGTGTAGATACGCAGTAATATGTGCTGTGATGTCAGGCATATCAGCCAGGCAAATATCGTTTTCTTAATTGCTTAGGATGTAGTAACCGTTTATGGGTTCCCATGGCAATTTACAATATGTATAAACAATTTATTTCAAAAGAAAATGCTAAAAGGACATGCAGACGAAATGCAGAAGAAAACTTCACTGCAACCCTTAAAAAGAAAGAAAGAAAACGGAAGGGAGATACATGTACTGCACTCTAGCAACGAAACGAAAGTTGTCCCTATGATATCCAATATTCTCTATATATAAGGAAGCGGTCTATGATTATTGTAAATAAGAATTTAAAATCTTGATAATTACTTGTTTACAATAACAGTTATTTTAATTGTATAAGTGTAGCATGCATTCAATAGGTACGTAATTAGGGTAACAAATTGATATACATCTCTCAATTTACAGTGCAAAAGGTTATTTTCCAAGTCTTAAAATACTTTTACAGACACTTACCTCATAAAAATGTATTATTACCAACAGTACCAGAAGACAATTCTCATATGTCAGTTGCCTCATTCTGTCACGCCAAAAAATGTTCAAGAACACTAATGAAACTTCCACATGTTGAGCAAAAATCTTTTTCTCCACAATTTTATAGACACCAGCTCAGAAATGTGTGCCGTTCCAAAAAAAAACTTCAATGTCGATTATATCTTCTATTTACAATGCAAAACTGTGTTATAACAATAGATATTCAAATGGCTTTATGAGAACGCAATGCACACATTTTTCCAAGAAAAAGCAATAGCCTATAAAAAGAATTTAAATCATTGTTAAGTTTATTCAGCCGGGCGTCGAATGATCTTCCTTCTTTAAAATGAATAGAATGACTCACATTAAACTGTATTTGATGTACAGATATTTAAGTACACAGGATGAGCTAAGTTTTGCTTTTACAATTACGCATTCAACATGAAGAACAAAATGTACATTCATTGATTGTGTTCGAGGACCAAGCGTCGACAAAATGTATTTTTACGAGAACACATATTTATTAAATTTACATTAATTACATTTTCTTTATGAAATCTATTATTATTCAAATCTCAAAACGCACGTGAAATCTTCTCACCGCGCAGTATAATATACGAGGGTTGTCATGTAAAATCATAGGCAAGTTTTCTAGTTTGAAAAGTAATCATCACTGCATTCTGAAATTTTCACTACTCTTTAGTACATATATTATTAATATTCGAGCAAATTTCAAATAGATAATTGCATAAATAAACAAATTATAACATTATATGTAATGTATTGTATCGCCTCACAACGCACGGATAATCATGCTGAATAACTATTATTGACTGCTGATGATATCAATCTTGCTTCAAGTTGTGCCTTTTCCTTCATTTTCAGCAAAAGTGACAATTTATAAGAGGATGCTTAGGGAGAAGCGTTATTCATTTTTTTAAAAAAGCCTTAAGAGAGCATTGCACCCTACCCTACCGGCAAATGTTACGTGGTTCTCTTAATAAATAAAAATGCCCGTTAAAAGTCACATACCAAAAATCAGTTTAATATTACAACCTGTAGAAAAACGGCGGAAAGGCAGTTGCCATGGGTTAGACTTCTAGAGACAGACAGATAGTCAGGGGAAAATAACCGTTTTCACCAGTACAGGCTTAGATTTTAGCTAATGAATTCTGTACAGATGTATTGCATCGTTAAAAGAAAAGATACGAGACATGCTATGGATACTGCTTTTAGTGAAAGCATCAAATCAGCTATTCCCCTCAGCATGCAGCTGAATTTTTATATGCGCAACATATTAGAGGAGAAAATTAATTGATTATCAATTGAATCGAAGATAGGTCAATCTGAAAATATACTCGCAAGAATAAATTCAGATACCTCCAGGTATTTCATTACACAAAAGTATTGTTCATCCCATAATTAACAATAAAAATGAACTGATTAAGTCCTTGATTAATAAAACAATATTTTGCATTATCAACCCTAAGATTTATGTTAGATCAGTGCTCTGTGTCAGCAGGGGAACAGCTCTGTTAACAAATTTTGCAGCATATCCAATCGTTTCCTTTCATCGTGTGCAGGCGCGTAGCGAGGCGTACGTTTGTACTCACAAACGTCCACATCATTTTTTGAAAAGGAGGGAGGGGCAGACGTAGTTTCTATTGATTCTTGTATGCTCTTAAAACATATAATACTTCCGTCGAAATTATTTATAACAAAGAGGAAAAAGACAATTAACAAAATCAGTTTAGTGGGAAATACGATTGTATTTATCCTCTTAAATCATTAGATCTGATTTACTATTGAAAATTGCTGAGTTTTTGCTAGAAGTGCATAATACTTTACCAGTCTAACCGACTATTTTACCATAGATATTTCAGTTGTCTTTTCAAAAATAAAAGATTGTTTTAGTGGGTTTGTCATACAACGATATTAGACAGATCCTTTCTCATTTTTGAGTGTTTGTCTGTACAATAAACATAGTAGACCTCGAATATGGTTGCGTGATGACAAACTTGTAAAGTGCAAGAAAAATGCAATCAGAAGGGTCGAATATACACATAAAAATCGTAAAAATTCACTTGCTTCCGAGGGCTTCGCCTCCAGGACCCCCAACAAGCCATCGCCTAGGATCCATCGGGGGCTTAAGGAGGACCTAAACCTCCTGCCTACTCGGGAGTCCACATCAAAAGTACCCTGGCTAGGCCCCTGGTGTGTACTGTTTTGTACATATACATACATACAGCATTTATACCGATAAATAAAATACACAGTCCAATTAAATAATTATGATCACTAACAGTAGCGATTTTCCTGTGTGCTTATACATGTAAACTTGTAGTAAATAAATAGACGTTTGAATGGAATGTACTGATTCTCACGTGTGCGTTCAGTATGTGTAAAAATATAGTAATATTCAGCATGTTCAGGTCAAATTTCAATATACTTATATAAAGTAAAAGATAGCAAAAAATTCCCACAGATACTGAGAAATCACAAGTTAATCCTCCGTAGATTCTGGTAAAGCAATATAAAGGTAAAATTTCAAAAGTTGTCAGTTAGCTTGATCTACAAACAAAGGCGGGTATGTACATGTATGTACGAATGAGAATATGAAAATTGTTTAATTCAGAGAAAAGAAGGGCGAGGCAATGTTTACCACAGTTTTCAATATACAAATTGTAAATAAATATCTATGTTTATTCATCTGTGTATGTGCGATCTGTCAAATTATTTTGCAATGGATGTTTTTGAAGTGAATGTTTATCACAAATGGATACAAAGTACATTTCTGATTTTAACAGATATGTATTTCATTCTAAGTATCCTGATAATCAACGAAGTTTAAATTAAAATATTTCATAAGTGGAGTTTTCGGTGACAGGGATCAAAGGTAACGGTGCCATTCAATTGACTTTCCAAATTTCTCTACCATTCGTAGGAATTTTTTTACCCAATGGAATCCTAACATATAATGTTTTTACTGGAAATGCGTTATACATACTTATAATCGGAAAACAAAATGCATATTCTATGTCATTTTCTCAGGCTGATTCAATAGAAAAAATAATCTCAAATCATGAAGTTATATTTTTTTCTTTTTTCAGAGAATCATCATTACTTTTTTTCAGCTGCACATACATTTTTGTTATAATTAAACACATTTTAAACTATTATGTAATATTTCGGATGTATGAAATGCCTTACTTGTAAAACCACGATAACAAAAAAACTTTATATCATTACTCAGATAGTGATATGAACATTGTGGATTTGGGACAGTTTTTGTTCATTTAAGTACAAATCTCGAGCAATATCCTTCACTTTTAAGGTTTAGAAATTCAATTATGCGAAGTAAAAAGTAAAAAAAATTTTCCACACGTCAACTTTTGCTTGAACATATACCATTCTAGCTCTATCTGTTAATGAATATTTGCACATACTTGCATTACATCTTGTGTATTATGGAAAGATAATGTTTCAGTTTACACTTTTAGGGTAATAACTGCAATTCTCGAAAGTTTTAGGCATTGTTGCTACTTCTTATTAAATCTAAATCTGTATTCTTCAGTTGAATTCATTTTGAAATATAATAGTGTTGCTTGATCTTTACAAAAAGTACCAGTATTACCGTATGTGTTTGACATCATTCTCCGCGTACAACGATACCAATGCCTTTGGTTTATAATTGTTATTGTCTTTACAAGTACCTCCCTTGAAAGATTATATTTCAGAGAGATCTATAGGAATAATTGCAACACGGTAAACTTTTAACCGAATACACTACCACATATTTATACATTGTAAAACAAGAATTCTCCCTGAAAAAAGTTAGGTCCTCTAATCCTCATAGGCATAATCATTATTTTTTTTAGGGGATATGGAAGACTAACTAAAAGATTATTTTTCTTTAGCACTAGCGACGAATTTATTTCTTGAAATAAACAGATTTTTATGATGTAAAACTTCAAATTATCATTTGTTTCACTGAAAGATGTGTCAAAGTCCTTGCAATGAGTTGACGGAAAGAGGAAATCGATCTACTTCCCATATAATGTAAACTGCTCTTTGCTTTTATTTGAGGAACGATGCATAAAAATTCTGTACACATCATATCTATGCTTATTTTAAGCACGTACACTTTACTTTGTTTATGTTCAATGGAAATTCCATATTGTGAATCGTAGGTATTTTTTGTCGTTATTAGTATAAAAAATATTTATTTTATTCCTTGATGAATAAAAACCACACCTTTCCTTCCATATGTTGCTAATGTTGTTCTAGAATACACTGTATTTCACTCAATTATACATGTTTTAGGGGCTTTAAAGGATGTTGTGGAAATTACAAGTGGAATACAGAAACTCAGCAATGTGAAAGTAAATTAAATGATTTGTATAAATATATTTCTGTAGAGATACACTGTACCTGTAGAGTTATACACATGCTTAGCTCAACGTTGCAAACTGTTAAATGTCAATTTGCATATCATGCATCAAACCCATATTTTAAAGTTTGGGCATATGTTTAGTTTTGTTATCTGAATGGAAATAATCAGCTAATAATCATTTTTAGTAGAAATTTGCTGTTAAAAATTCACGTTTATATTTTACTTAATAACAGATATAAATCTCTGTGTTTAATTTTATATTGTTTATGTCAATCCGTTAATAATTCATTAAAAATAGTCATCCAAAATACACATGTATTTACATTTCTCCAGCCAAGCAGAAAGAAACAAGGATATCATTTTACTTGTTCTTGCTATGTACATTTATTTTGCAATTTAAGGTATTCAGAAATGCTTGGCATTCTTTTTGTACAAATAAAATAAGAATATTTAATTTGATCTCTACAAAAATATTTACAGAATGTTTACCCGGATACAGTGGAACCAACTGTAGTCAACCATGTCCTTATCCCTTTTATGGAGACTGGTGTCAAGGAAAATGTGACTGTGACAACAACACATGTGATGTCTCAGTTGGTTGCCTGATACACACTACTTGTTAGTGTCATTAAATTTATATATTTTTTTAAATAAAAAGGGGGGAAATCAAATCTTTCAGTCGAAAAAAAAATACTGGAAGTTATTGTATGGATAGCAAAAAAGAAGCTTTCGGGAAAAATACTTGATTTTCAAGGAAACTCTACTTCACTAAATGGCAGACAGATTTATTTTATCCTACCAGCGCATTTGATTCTAAACTAGTAATAAGCAACCTTAAACTCCGGGAAACATTCTCTTCAGTTTTTAAATAAATGCTATTTTAATACACCTTAGAAAAAAAACAGAAATTTAAAAAACACAGTTTAGAAAAATAACAATGAAGTTGTTAAAGGACATTTGGCGTCTCAATGGTGTCTCAGTGTATAGTATATATAATGTATAAATACAAAAAAAACGTCTACTTATCAAAACTGACATTTCTAATTATATCTACCGAAACAGTAAACAAGTTGGACGTGTAAACTAATGAGATATATACACCAAGTGTATTTTTGCGGTAATGGTTGGAATTTTGTTATAACAAGACTTTTAACTTTTCAATTTTAATGAATTTATTATGCGTATACTTAAGTCTATTTGAAAAGATAAAACCCCTATTCAAAGAATACATGTCGTACTTAAATCCGTATCGGCCGAATAGACATGCAACGAAAAATTACAATATAAATACAAATATGTTTTAATGGACTCCTATTACAGCCAAAGAGTAACAATAAATTCAGGTATTAGTTAATCTTTAACATGGGAACACATGAACTTAGAAAACAGGCTTTTTTTGGGGGGGGGGGGGGGTAATAGCTGAAGCGAAAAAAAATAAAAATTACAAGCAAATTCAAAGAATGTGATTTCCTGTCGGATACCAGTATTGCCGGAATTACAAAGTTTGCGTCAACTCTTAGCAGAGTTTCAACTGCCAACTACAGGATTTCAAGAAATAAACACATAATCTCATATACACTAATTGCTAACTAGAATTTAAAATTTAGGATTTACGGTTTTTTTTTCTAAAACAATTTTCCATTTCTGTAAAATTACATATTTTCGTAGGATCAAAGAGCTAAATCCACGAATGTGCTAAATCGGCCTAATGATTTTAGGAAAAATAAAGTGAGGGAAGAAGAAAATTATTTACGGAAATATTATCCTTAGGTATCAAACTTGAATAGTTTATGCCAAAGTTTTCATTTGATGACGTCATATTTGTGCAGAAAACGTCTAAACACGTGAACTTTGCCACTTTTTATCAAAATTTAGCATTTTTTACGTCTTTGATGCAAATTTTTGCTGTGGCCACACCCTTTGAACAAAATAAAACTCACACCATTAAAAAGAAAATTAAAAAATGAACAAATAGAGTGTTATTTTATTTTGTTCGAGGGGTGTGGCCACATCGAAATATTTAATTTTTGTTCGACTCAAATCTCTTCGCACCAACCACCAAAGTGGAAATAATGGGGTTTTACCCAAATTAATTAAAAAGAAACAAGATTATATGTTGCTTTTGTGAAGTTTAATTAGTTTTTAAATGCAAATTTACCATTTATTATAAGTTATTTTGTGTTGTGGTGCAAAAAAAGTACATAAGTCTCTCGGAGTCTCTTTACTATAGGTATGACTGTATGAAGATGCAATAATGGTGACTCATTCCTAACCCAAGACTTTTTAGTCAAGCACAGCTGATCTAGGTTTACATTATCATTGATTATGCTGAAATATTTTTTAAAAATGGATATTCTTTCCCCCAAATCTTATTTAGTTTTACAAACAATGTATTTATGTTTTATCTCCCGATCTCGTCTCCATGGTCACTATGTAATCAAAGGGAGATCACCCGAAAAACTTTATTGTCACCAAGTCGGAATTACTTAGTAATCCTAGAATATATTTTTAACATAAACAATTATATCGGTAGCAACTAGCAGGATGTATATATTATAAACTGAAAATTATTTGTTTTACTCCTTTACAAAACACAAATTGTGTATGTCGTGACACGTCTGCATCGACTGGCTTCATTAATGATAAAAATGATTTACGTTTGGCTGAGTCAAGATACAAGCGCACAAAGCCACAGGCCCTATCGTAAACCAACATGCATTTCAGAAACTGCTGTTGGCATTTCAAGAAGACCGCTTAATTTTAAAAAAGTTTATCATTAATAATATTTTCCGATCCGAGAGTTTATAACATATGTAGGCCTAACGAAATATTGAACCTAGAAAATTCGAGCTAAAAATTCAAATAGATCTATTGAAATAAACAATTTGCGAAAAAATAATGATTTTTGATCGCGTGTAATTTTTGTTATGGGCCTTTATTAGACTAATACAATGTACATTGTAAAAACGAATAACTTACTACATGTACCGAGATAGTGACAGCTCTTTACATGTATGATTACAGTCTCGCCTTCATGCCACATGAAAAAAAGTCAAAGGGAGGCTACTTGTTTATCTCTTTTTATTTTGAGTTACTCCTCTCAAATGTAACCTGTTCAACTTCAGGTCTAAGGGAAAGAGGGCAGCCAAGATTAGCAAGTCATTTTATAGTAGAGTACATTATTATAGGAGATAGAGCCTGGACATAAAATGAGAAGCTAAGAGAGAGTGAGGTCTTCTAACGAAAAAAAAATAGCCTGAGGGTAATGGGGGGATGTTCGGATCCCCACAATATCACTCATATTATACTTGTTTATAAGACAATAATATATGCAATGAATATTCCAATAAAGATACTACAGGGATACAGTAATATTTAAAAAGAAATTAATAACTGAATTGCATTTTCATTTATTTTTAAAAATCTGTATGATAAAAAAATAAGAACATTACTGATGTTTCGTGACTTGGTCATTGAATTAATTCATTATACCGGTATGTCCCAAATGTATTACATGTATCATTAACGGATTGAACTGGTAATTTTACCTGTCTGTCATTTTTGTTTTCTTGAAATAACGTATAGAAAATAACATCATAGATAGGGCGTTTGTCTCTAATTCATTCAACATGGTATCCGGGGGGGGGGGGGGGTATGGTAAGGTAATATGTTGCTTGACATGTTGTCGGGATATGAATTACAGTGCCGAAATGTCTCATATATTGTAATAGGTTTTCTGAAAAGTAGTCCTAGATAAATTAGTTTCAAATGACACAACAATTTTTTTTTCACCCCGCACATATTTTGAAAGAACATCGGCGTTGTCACACGACAAAGATTCATGAAGTTAGTTTCATTTATTTTACCTCTACTGAATTTTCCCTATATAAAATTAAGTGATTAGATCTGAACAATTCCATAGAAATCGCTGTGAATCAGCTAATCCTCGTGCGTTAGTTTTTGAGCTTATCTCTTCGTCGAAAGCTAGTCATGCTAATCCTCGTGCATGAGTTTTTTTTTTAGCTAATCACTCTGTCGAAAGCTAGTCATGCTAATTCGCGGTTATCCGTAATCCTCTAGTTTTTCAATAAATATAAATTTTGATTTTATTCAGTTATGAGAATATTGATAAGTTATATAATCTGTTATTAAAATATTCCTTTTTTTTTTTAAAAAAAAAAAAAGGTTACCCCCTCCCCTATTTCAACACGCACATGTTGCAGTGTATTCAAAGAAGGGGAAGTATAGATTTTTAAAATAAAAAGTGGTACTGAGAGAAGTTTGATAAAATTTTTCACTTTGATTATATAACGTTTTTATCGTTCATTGGTGGATTTATTTCAATTAAGTAAATTACATTAAATAATTGGCTTACGTGCCATTTCCGTTTAACCATCTTCTCAAGCCCTTAGCTAGCGAAGATGGTGGTTATCTTGCTTTTTAACTTTTACAATTTTAATACTTTGGAAATCTTGTGTTTTCGTTTTGTTCTTCTTTTTATATAACGAAAACGCTAATTTTTGCGGCCGATTTGATGCTTTGCAGGCACGTAGCAACAAAGAGGGGGGGGGGGCACTTTTTTTTCCAACATTACCTATACTATTGAAAATGTTTATTGAAAGGTTGGTGCCCCCCCCCACTTCTTACCATAGTAAAATGATATCAGGGAATTGTAGTATTGTATGCAAAACAAATGGTAGTGAAAGAAAGTTGACATTAAAAAAAGTTGCCTCACCCCTCCCCCACGAAATACCATTTTCGAGCTTGAGCAATTTTTTTTTTTTGCTTTTCAACTTTACTTTAATTTACAAGTAAGTGAAAAAAATTCCCTGCCCCCCCCCCCCCACACACACTTCAAAGACGATTCTACGTGCGCCTGCTTTGCATCAATTTTGTTTAAAAGTCTACTATTGTGGTTTTTTTTCCTAAATATATATACTGCTCTGTGTGCGTAAGATACTATGTAGCCTTCAATATTCATATCACTATTTTTCGTGAAATTTATGTAAATACTGTGTACATATCAAATGTTCAGGAAATGCCATAAATTAAGGAAGTGCAGCGAAATCTTTAAATGACAATATAATAAATGATGATTTAACTACAAACATATTCATTTTTAATTAAGCATTTTTTTAAGCATGATGTTTTCGTTATTAAAGAACACTTGTCTATTCTCTGTCAAAATCTCTATTTTTCAAGTTTGTATGTCGTAGGACCATATTATAACACATTTAAGGATATTAAAATCCGTTTCCTCCATGGCTACCATAATATATATTTTACTACAAAAAATTAAGTTTTACTCAGATATGATAGATTTACACTTTGTGTTGATGTTCAACTTAATCTGCCCCTTATTTTCATTTAAAAGGTGTTGCATGTTTCCACTCAATCATTTATTCATTATTTATAAATATATAACAAATAGTTCTCATTTCTTTGAATTACATATAAATAAAAAAAACAATCCATTTTTCAGAACTTCTTAAAAAATTCATAGAAACATTGTCCTGAAATTCTATAATTTTGAAGAATGGCCTATATTGTTGAATTTTATTCCATAAATGTTTATGTTTTATTTTTATACAAAACGTCAACGCCACGGTGTCGAAGCATATAAGTCAACGTAATGACTTGACGGCATTGATTGAGAAAACGGGATGCTAAATTGAAACGGCTGTAAAAAGAAAACCAGAAAAGATATTCTTAAAAAATAAAATGTTTTACAACATACAAATCTTCGAGTATAATGTCAGGAAGTTTCACTTATTTTGATGACTAGGCGGATTTTTGCACTTCGTGAACTTAGCTCTTTCGTGGTTTGAGGAAAAAAT